CGTCATGGCAATGCACACACATACAGACAGACACACACACACACACACACACACACACATACACACAGACAGACACACACACACACACACACAGACAGACACACACAGACACACAGGTGCTCTAACGTTTCTAGATGAAGGCACAGAAACCCATTGAAGGTCACAGTAAGGCAGATTCACAGCACTAAGGAGGAGGAGTCCWTCAGAACAGAACCGGCCCAGATTCCAGCAGTCCTCTGGAAGAACGAGCGCCGGAGGAAAAGACTGAAGATGTTCGAGGACAGAGGAGGAAGGTGTTCATGTGTCGAGTTGACCTCTGACCTTTGATCTTTAACAGGAAATGAAGCTCCTGAGGATGAGGAGCGACGGCTGAAAAGTTCTTTGTTTTTAAACTTTATTTCCTTTAAAGTTTGTTGTTTGTCWCACCAGAGAGGAAGAGGACGATTTGAAGAACTCCATCCTTTCTTCAGGATCCTCTCACTTCAACCAGCTGCAGAGATCTGAGAACTCRTTTTGCTTCGTTTAGAAACAGAAAGACCAAAGAAATCAGTTTGTTCAGTTGCCTCTTTGTTGCGCAACTTTCAAACCCAGAGCATCAACAGTTGTCTCTTTGAGACAGAGTCTGAGGAGGCCAGCAGCTGAGCCGCCTCCAAAATGTCCTCAGAGCGTCTATGTTTAAAGACACTTCCTGGTTTTACTTTAACAGGTTTAAAAAATTGTGCAACAAATTTTCTTTCAGATTATTTACAAAGTTGTCATCTCAGACACATCTCTAATTTGTTCTGTCTTAAACCCTTCTGCGTTATGTCTCGGGTGTCTCAAACCCGTCTCAAAGGCTAATCTCAAACCTGTCTCAAAGAAAAATCTCAAACCTGTCTCAAACATGTCTCAAAGGCTAATCTTAAACATGCCTCAAACCCATCTCAAACCTGTCTCAAATGCCAATCTACCTGTCTCAAACTTGTCTGGAACTCGTCTCAAACCTGTCTCAAACTTGTCTGGAACTCGTCTCAAACCTGTCTCAAACTTGTGTGGAACTCCCCTCAAATCTGTCTCAAAAAAGAATCTCAAACCTGTCTGGAACTTGCCTCTAACCTGTCTCAAACCCATCGCTAACCAGTCTAGAACTCGTCTGTAACCAGTCTGGAACTTGTCTCAAACCTGTCTGGAACTCATCTCTAACCAGTCTGGAACTCATCTCTAACCTGTCTGGAACTCATCTCTAACCAGTCTGGAACTTGTCTCTAACCAGTCTGGAACTCGTCTCTAACCAGTCTGGAACTCGTCTCTAACCAGTCTGGAACTCGTCTCTAACCTGTCTGGAACTCATCTCAAGCCCGTCTCCGTTTGTTCTGGGAGTCTCAGACCCACCTCTAATCTATCTCAAACCCAAGTTTTGTCCTGGATGTCTCAAGAACTGGAGCTGTGTTCTGCAGCCCCTAAAGTCCAGACCCAGAAAGCAGATTGATGATATGTTTAGTATTTCAGTCCATGCTGGACCCAGCAGAACCTAACCGTTTAAAAACAAGGCATCGGGACATTTTCTGTTGGCTGAAAACGTTTTGCTTCTCATTCAAATGAAAAGTGCAGAATTGAAAGCTTTGATCTGTTTCTCACAAACACTCAGAATTTATCCGACGGCAACAAAAACATTCAGCAACAGTTGCAGCCCGGTGAGGGAGTCCCTCAGGTACCCTGTTTCTACCTGTTCACATTCTTGTGCTGAACCCTCCTGCTGTGCAAAGCTGYGACCAGTTTGTCCACAGAAAGGATCTTGTCCCTGAGTCTTCACTGTCCCCGACCCTGTCCCACAGAATCCRCCTCTGAAAGACATCCAACATGGAGGTTTGTGTTAAAGGAGCTCCAGCCAAGTTGTGAGTCAGTCGATGAKCTAAACGGGTCTCAGCTGAAGGGCGGAGGAAGTGACCCAGCAGCTGTAAACCTTCCTGTCACATCRCAGAGAGACGCCGAGTGGACGCTCAGCTCTTCCTGTCCCTGGCTTTTAGGTCAGGGCGTACTCGAACGTCCCCTTCTCCAGCCCCTCAATGCCGTCGGCCCAGTTAGAGGAGGGCATGCTGCTGTAAGGGTCCAGCAGGATCCTGAAGCAGCGGACTATCAGCAGCCCCAGGAAGACCAGCAGCATCCCCACGAAGGCGAACGCCGTCTTCTGCTCCAGAGTCAGAGAGTGCGCYATCACGTCGTTCCCGTTCATGGCAGCGAGCGAGTGGTTGAAGTGCAGGCTGCTCATGGTGAAGCCACATCCAGGAGCCTCAGGTCTGGTCTGACGGGGCCTGCATGTTACCTGGACACACGGGACACAGGTGTCTCTGAYTGGAGCTGGCAGATCCTCCTGGTCTTTTACCTGTTAGAGCTCATGGAGGACTACAGGTGTGCAAAACTGCACAATCTGGTCTGGATCTGATCAAAATACTGAAATTAATCTGAGGTTTCACCAAGAACAGCGGTGTGCGTCATCATTAATACGCTAAATAAACTTTTATTAAACGATTCATATTTAACTGAATATTTACAGGTTAAAACTCGGGACATAAAAACTTTTCTGTGAAAATAAGTTGTGAATGCTAAGAGCTGAACAACTTTGAGTTCTTTCAGTTAAAATAAGCAGGACACAAGCTAAAGGAGCAAAATGCTAGTTTGAGGTAGGCCAGTTCTGGAGTTTAGCATTGGTTTAAAGCTAAAGGTAGCAAAACAGCTAAAATAAATAAACACTCTTAAGTATACAAAAGTGCTAACTAACGCTAAAAAGCACAAAATATTGCTAAAAATAGAAAAATGTTTGATAAAAGAAGAAAACTGCTAGCTAAAAAAAACAAAACTCTAGTTAGAAGCTGAAAGTGTCAGAATGTTAGCTAAAAGTAGCACATGTTAAACAAAATCGTACAAGGCTACGTAAAAGTAGCAAGTCTACGGAGCCCACGAGGGGACATGGGGGGATTTTTTTCTTTTGCGTTTCCACAAAATACTATTGCGTTACCTCGCAAAATTGTTTCGCGTTCCCACGCAAAAGTTTGTTTGTACATGAACTGAATTAAATCAGACTTTTATTTTGAAATATCCGGTTACCAAAACAGGATGTGTCGCCACATGTTTGTGACATTGACATTGATGTTGCGTGGCTGCACTGTGTTAAAATATCTTCATGTGACATACATGTGTGTCTGTGTGATATATTCATTGTGAAGCTGAATTAAAGCAGTARGCTAACTCACTAATGGTGAACATGTGAGTTTGTTAATAAACCGGCAGCACAACAGTGATWAACAACTTTTGCGAGGGAAYGCRAAAGAAAAAAATCTCCCATGTCMCCTCGCGGGCTCCGTACAAGTCACTGGCTTAAAGCTAAAACTGGATAAACATTAGCTAAAATACAAAAACACTCAAATATGCAAAAGTGCTAACTAATGCTAAAAAGCACAAATATAGTTATAAACAGAAAAATATTTGCTAAAAGAAGGAAAATGCTAATTAAATAATGCTAGCTGAAAATTTTTAGCAAAACTCTAGTTAAAAGCTGAAAGTATCAGAATATTAGCTAAAAGTAGCATAATGCTAAATAAAGTTTTAACAGGCTAGGTAATAGTAGGAAGACACTGGCTTAAAGCTAAAACTGGGAAAACTTTAGCTAAATGCTAAGTGGAGTAAAACTCTAGCTGAAAGTATCCAGATGCTAACTACCTGCTAAAAGAAACATAACTGAGGCTTYAGATGCTGAATCAAAATTCACACAAATAAAATGACAGACAYGGAGGTCTGGAGACGAGTCCAGCTCTGCAGAGGACAGCTAACATGAGCAGAGACTGAAGCTGGGGTCTTTGGTCCCACATGGACCCCCCAGGACCAGCTGGTCCACACAAACATGCAGACTCAGAACGCCACGTCTCCTGAGGCTGCAGTCCAACATGTCTACCTGTTGCATGTGAGCAGACTCATCCTGTCACTAATTAAACAACAAAACCCGCTGGACCGGTCTGGTCCCACGAGTCCTGAGGCCAGATGTTGGACATGAAGCAGCAGGTGTCTCAGGTGACATGTCAACAATAAACAGAAACAAAGAGAGACCAGGACACGGGGACGACAGGGAGGACACTGCACTGAGACGTGGGGAGGGAGGGGACAGAAAGACTGCAGTGAGACGTTCAGGAGGACGATCAGGGCTCTCACCATCGTTCTGCAGACATCCTTACAGACCTGTTGCTGCCGTTTGTTTCCAACAACTCCTCCTTGGAGCTGTGAGACGTGTGTCCATTGGTCCGTCCATCACTGCGGTTCTGTCTCTGGTCTTCAGCCTGTTAGAGGAGGGGGTCTTCAGAGGGACGCAGCTCCTGTCCTGCTGCTGCTTTACTCTCTGCCTCCTCATTATCATTCAGTTTCTCTGTCTGTGTGTTGAAGCAGGCTGCTGCTGCTGCTGCTGCTGCTGCATGGCAACCACTTGTTAGTCTCACTCATTCACAGCAGCATCACAGGACGGATGCAGCAGAAGGATTCTGTCCCGTCTCCAGAACCTGGCAGGGGATCCRACCGTCTGACCGCCTCGGGCTGAAGAAGGCTGCTGCAGACCGGCGCAGCGTTCTCTCCCCTCTCAGCTGGACGTGCTGCAGTTTGCTGTGGACAAATGAAATTAGCTGCTCTGCTTGTAGACAACCTGCCCTGAGCAGGCTGAAGACAAGATTTCATCTGAGGACATCTGGGAGCAGCTCAGGACACAGCAGAGACACGCAGAGAGACAGAGCTGAGCCTCGTCCTCTCACAGGAGACAGAAACACTGAAGAGACAAAAAGAGACAAACACGTCAACACACCTGTTACAGGTGAGGAGACCAGAGGACCTGAGGAGACCAGATCTGGAGGACCTGAGGAGACCAGAGGACCTGAGGAGACCAGAGGACCTGAGGAGACCAGAGGACCTGAGGAGGACCAGATCTGGAGGTCTGTCTCATTCTGGTCTGATGGATGATTCTAGATGATCTAAGATCTGTAGATTATTTTCTGCATCGATGGAGTTTTTCCAACAGAAACTAGAGTCACTAATGCACCCTCATACCATCAGAGAGGCAGGCTTTTGGACTTTAAGCTGATACAGGCTGGATGGTGTCCTCTACAGASGATGAGGTCTCTGTGGTCTCAGATTTGTACCGGTCCGACCTCAGAACAGATCTTTGACAGACAGACCGGTGCAGGTCAGGGTGGTGGACTCTGGTCTGGTCTGCAGGTCCTGCAGGACTGTGGACTCTGGTCTGGTCTGCAGGTCCTGCAGGACTGTGGACTCTGGTCTGGTCTGCAGGTCCTGCAGGACTGTGGACTCTGGTCTGCTGTGGTCCAGAGGAGCTGTTTGTTTGATTGAGCGCAGGCAGGTCGTCTGAGCCTGTTAGGACTTATCTGATCTGTGGAGGGCCAGAACAAACCCTCAGACCTTCATCAGACTCAAAGTTCAGGACTCAGACCTGTCCTGGCTCAGAGACAGCAGCTGTTAGACTAACGAACTGTGATATTAACGAGATAATTTCTGTGAAACAGACGACAGGTCAGGAGCACACAGTGAGACTGTAAAACACCTGTTCTGATAAGACCTGCAGATAAGAGACTGGACTGGACCAGGTGGAACAGGCTTCATTTTTATTTTGTTTACTTTATTACTATTATTATGATTATTGCTTTTTTTAGTTGATGATGATGATGATGATGATGATGATGATGATGATGATGATGAAAGCCTTTATTGTCATCATTTGCACAATGAAATTACATTTAAGAGCACCCATTCAGGAAGACACGACACAAACATGGAACAGGTGGTCCTGCAGAAACCAGCAGGGGTCGCTGTACCTTTAAAAAGACTTGGAGTGCACACAACAGGACAGATGAGTTAAAAAAGATGCTCTGATCCTACATTTACACAGAAACAGAATCATCATTAGTGTGTGAAATCATTATTTATGTATATATTTTTTGTTAAATGTGGGCAGACGTTATAAGATATATTTTTATTTCTGCTCCTTTTCATTTATTGATATTGTGTTGTGTTGAAATTAGTTGTTTTTAAATTAAATGAAATAAATTATAATAACAATACTGACCTCAGCTGGCAGCCTCAGGAAACTCACTTTAAAAACAGAAATTCATGAAACGTGTGGAGAATAAAACATCTGCATGTCTTTAACATCTCTGTTTTACACTTTRATATGTTTATTTGTAACAAGAGTTTAAGGTTTAAAGTGCCTGTGACAACCAATTTTTGTAATAAATATGAATGTATTTTTGGGAAAATAACATTGACAACATACTGTAAAAGAAATTTCATGTCATTGAGATGAACAGTTGTTGAGATATTCACATGTGAAATAACAGGAAGTGATGTCATAGAGGAATGTCTGAATGTAAACAGAGTTTTGGTAAAATGGCCGACAACACAGACTGTAGAGAAAAATCTGATGTTCCTTTACGTTATTTTAATCACTATCATAGAAAGGTGAGGAAGAGTCAGAGTTCAAATAATATTGTTTTAATAAACAAAAACCAGGAAGTTTTCTTTCTCAAAGAGTTCCCCTTTGATGTCACTTCCTGTTGCACTTTAGCAGAGCCAAATTCAAAAGAAAATGTGCCATTTATGTGACATGATGAGTAAAATCAGGTGTATTATGCCAAGTTTCTTAAATATAAATATATTTCCTCTGACTGTATTTCATGGATATGAACGTCACAGACACTTTAAGATAAGAGTTTCTTTAACATGAATGTTTAAATTTATAAAATACCTACAGATTTAAATCGTTTGATCCGAGCTGCACGTTTTTTCTTTACTGATTGAAAATCAAACCTGCAGAAGGACTGATGTCAGGCTGAGACAAAGTTCTGGACACAGCTCCAGGAAATCAACCATCAGTTTATCAGGCAATGCCAATGCAATGCACACTATTGTGATTCATTTCTCATCCAAGTCATCTCCACTTTGCCATGCTTCTCCTCCTTCACACTTTGTCCTAGAGCTGCCATTGTGATTTATATCTGTAAA